AGGGAGGGAGGGAGGGAGTTGGCTGGCCAGGAGGGTGGCAGCGGAGGGGACGCGACGCAGCGGGCCACACCCAAGGCCACACCCCTTCTCCATCTCCACCCAGTCAACTTTTTATTTTTTGACTGAGCGAAAAGCGAATCCTTCTACTCCGTGCCCGCCTGCCTGCCCTGCCTGCCTGTCTGTCTGTGTAGAACGCATTGAGGTAGCGCCACTCACCTCTGGTCGCTGGTGCTGGAGTCCGCCCCTGGCAGACGCCGCCTGCTGCTGGGAGGGTAGGCCGCCCCGCCGAGCAGCGCTGTGCAGCCGGCGGCCCGCCGTGAGCGAGGGCAGCTGGCGTCCTCCTTGACGCGCCCCTCCGCGTGCTTTGGTGAGGGCGCTCCGGATGCGGAACACACACGCACACACACACACACACACGCACACGCACACGCACACACACACACACAATACTTTCAACAAGAATACACAATTATTTACAGCTGTAATTTTTCATTCCCCCCCCCCTCTCTCTCTCTCATTCTATCTAAAGCTATCCTACAATACACTGCTATAAAACTACTGTAAAAATTTCAGCGGCATCTTATGCAAATACTGACTTTAAAAAAAAATTGAGGAGGTCCCCAAAAGTGGCCTTGCGACGGGTCGTCAAGTCAAGTCAAGGGAAAGTGGCACACGGGGCACTCGGAGGGCTTCTCTCCTGTGTGGGTTTGTGAATGTCTCTTTAGGTGACCTGACCGAGCAAACTTCTTGTGACGAAAAGTGCACTCGAAGGGCTTTTCGACAGTGTGAGTTGCAAAATGCCTCTTTAGGGTATCTGTATCAGCAAACTTCTCGCGACACACGGTGCATGTGCACCCGAAGGGCTTCTCTCCTGTGTGGGTTCGTAAATGTGTCTTCAAGTTTACTTGCTGGGGAAATTTCTTGGGGCACAATGTTCAAGCGAAGGGCTTTTCGCCAGTGTGAGTAAGAAAATGCCTCTTGAGGGTGCATGATTCAGCAAACTTCTTGCGACACACCTTACACTCGAAGGGCTTCTCTCCTGTGTGTGTATGTAAATGTGCTTTTAAATGAGTTGATGTAGCAAATTTCTTGCAGCACACTGTACACTCGAAGGGCTTCTCTCCTGTGTGTGTTCTTAAATGTGACCTTAAATTACCTGATGTAGTAAATTTCATGGGACATAATGTGCATTCGAAGGGCTTTTCGCCAGTGTGAGTTAGAAAATGCCTCTGGAGGGTACCTGATTGACTAAACTTCTTGCGACACACCTTACACTCGAAGGGCTTCTCTCCTGTGTGGGTTCGTAAATGTGCCCTAAAAGGACTTGGTAAAGCAAATTTCCTGCGGCACAAAGTGCATTCGAAAGGCTTTTCTCCTGTGTGTGTTTTTAAATGTACTCTTAAATGAGTTGATGTAGCAAAATTCTTGCGGCACACGGTACACCCGAAAGACTTCTCTCCTGTGTGGGTTCGTAAGTGTGACTTTAGGTGAGATTTCGAGGAAAATTTCTTGCAACACACGGTACACTCGAAGGGCTTCTCGGACGTCCCTCCCGTGTGTGATTGTAAATGTGCCCTTAACTGACTTGGTAAGGAAAATTGCTTGCGGCACACACTGCATTCGAAAGGCTTTTCTCCTGTGTGTATTTGAAAATGTCTCTTGAGGGTACCCGATCCAGCAAACTTCTTGCTACACACGGTACACTCGAAGGGCTTCTCTCCTGTGTGGGTTCGTAAATGTGTCTTTAGACTAGATGTCCCGGAAAATTTCTTGAAGCACACGGTACACTCGAAGGGCTTTTCTCCTGTGCGCTTCTCTCCTGTGTGTGTATGTAAATGTGCCCTTAAATGAGCTGATGTAGCAAATTTCTTGCAGCACACTGTACACTCGAAGGGCTTCTCTCCTGTGTGTGTTTGTAAATGTATCCTTAGTTGACATGCCATAGAAAATTTCTTGGGACATAAGGTGCAATCGAAGGGCTTTTCGCCAGTGTGAGTTAGAAAATGCCTCTTGAGGGTACATGATTGACTAAACTTCTTGCGACACACCTTACACTCGAAGGGCTTCTCTCCTGTGTGGGTTCGTAAATGTGACCTTAAAGGACCTGAGAAAGCAAACTTCCTGCCACACAAAGTGCATTCGAAAGGCTTTTCTCCTGTGTGGGTTCGAAAATGACTCTTGAGGGAACCTGATTCAGCAAACTTCTTGCCACACACGGTGCATTCGAAGGGCTTCTCTCCTGTGTGGGTTCGAAAATGTGTCCTTAGGTCAAATTGACGGGAAAATTTCTTGCAACACACGGTACACTCGAAGGGCCCCACTCCTGCGCCGGCTCGCAAATGTGGCTTCTTTTCACTTTCTCTGGATAATATTTCTGAAACTTCGCTACGTGTTGTTGTCGGATGGTCTGCATGAGTGACATGTTTTTCCAGAGAGAACTTGTCACGGCACTTTATGCCATCCAGAAGCTTCTCCTCGTCACGGTTTGAAAAGCAATCTGGCTTCTGGTCGTCAGACTCGACGCCCGCAATTGTTTGCTGTTCCGCGTGGGTCCGAAGGTGCTTCTCCAAGTCCTCAGACTCGGAGAACTCTGCGTGGCACTCTACGCACTCAAACAGCTCCTCTACTTTGTAGACGGGGAGTAACTCGCACTTTATGCCTGATTTAGGGGTGTCCTCGGCGTAGGCGGTTATGGTGGGCTCCATCTCCGAGTGTGAAGAGGTGCACTCAGATCGTTGGACACAGTTTGCTCTTTGTTCTTGTTACACTGCACTGCCTACTTTCCGTTGCTTTGAAGACGTCTTCTCTGATGCCCAGTGTGGCCTGGATAACGCCTTGCGCCCAAGTCGGTGGGAGCGCCGGTGCGCGATCTCGTCGACGCGTACCTCGCAGAACGGGTCGCGGACGTCGCGGTGCACAACGCGGACGACCCCGGACGGAGGCCTGCCGGACGTGGACTGCGGGGTGGTGGGTGGTGGCGTACGGCGAGGGAGGGGGACGCGGAGCGCCGGCCGGCGACCCGGAGGGGAGGGCGAGGGAGGGGAGGGAGGGGGGTGCATCCCGGTGCTGGGAAGGTGGCTGCGGAGGGGAGGAGGCGCGGCGCCGCTGACGGCGACCCACGCCGCCCCTCCTCGAGCTCCAGCCCTGCTCCAGCCGAGCACGCTTTATGGGTGAGGGTGCCGAGGGCGAGGGTGGTTTGGTGGTG